GAGCGATTCGTGGATGGAGTGTCAGTTCGGCGAGGCCTCGCGAGGAAAGGACTGAACAAGCAGCTGTGGAACAACAGCTTACAAAGAGCCTATCCTTGTCGCCGCCAGTAAACCCCACACACTCACACCACACCACTCTCACACACCGTGTACAGCAGACAGCACACACACACCCTCAGCACTAGCACACCTCTCACACACACTTTTTCACGTCACTCACACCACACTCTCACACACACACACCACACAACACACTCACACACACACTGCGTCGGGACACACCTTTCACAGCAAGCACACACGACTCTCACACCATCACTCTACACACACACACGACACTCACACCAGCACACTCGGTCAGCAGCGAGCACCTTTGCACGCCAACCACTGCTCTCACTGGACACAGCGACACACACACACGACACGACACACACACACCGCACCTCACACACACGTTCACTCACACACTGACACACTCCTCACACACAACACACGCTTTGTCACTCACACACACACTGACAGCTTTCATCGCACACACACACACCACACGGTCACACCACACTTCACAACATTTCACTCACACACGACACAGCACACCACCACACACGGACAGGCTGCACACACTACTTGTCGCTCACACACACACACACACACCACACTCGACACCACACACACACACAGTCATGCCGACTTTCCGTGTCTGTTTAGTGAGTCTTAATCAAGAAATCGAAGTTTCCGGAGTTCGTTCGTTCCCACGGAGCGGACGGTGACAACGTGAGGACGTGAAAAGCAGGAGCAGGAGGAAGGCCTTTCCGAGAGCTGCTGAAGAACCAGAAACCTGGAGTCGGAAGGGAGATCGATCAGCGTACCTGCCGGTCTGGCTGGACTGGACCCGGAGGCCCCGAAAATCATCACATAACCGGTTTCTGGTCTGTGGTTTAGGTTCTGTACTGCAGCTCCCCACAGGGGATGAGAGTCACCGTGCAGTCACACCTGGGAACGCCCGCGCCCGCATCCCCCCGCGGTGCCCTCCCCGACCCGCCCTCCACCCACCGCTGCTGGGAAGGAGGAGGAGGCGGATGAAAAGGAGGAGGCAGGACGAGCAGTTTAGAGAGGGGGGGGTCATAAAGGTGTAGTGGACCTTGGATCGGGAGCACGGTTCCTAAGTGGAAGGGTTCTGGTTGCTTCTTTTGGGAGTCTTTAAGGGGTCTTGAGAAAGACTCATTTGAGGTATTACATCTAGAATATTGGTATTAAGTATCGATTGATTTGATTATGATGCTGTTATTGTCCCTCGCTGTCATGGACGGAGTTCACATCCCGTCTCGGCTCCCCGCGGGTTGCGCAGAGAGGATCCGTACAGGCTGGGGGGTGGCGGCGGCCGTCACCATAGGTGTACAGCGTCCGCAGAGCAGCTCGGTATTGAAACCACCGCCATGTGCCCCGCCCCCCTGTCAGCTCACGCACACCTTCTCGGAGGGGCTTGTGTGTGTTGGGTGTGTGTGTATCTTATAAACGGGGGTGTGTATCGTATAAGGGGTGTTGTGTGTGTGCTATCTATAAGGTGTTGATTTATAACGGTGGTGGGTGTGTGGTGATTATAAGGTGTGTGTTTGTGTGTGTGTGTGTGTGTGGTGTGTATTATAATGGGTGTGTGTGGTGTGTGTGTGTGTGGGGTGTGGTATTATAAGGGTGTGTGTGCTGGTGTGTGTATGTATAAGGTGTGTATTATAAGGCTGTGTATTATAAGGTGTGTGTGTGTGTGTGTGTGTGTGTATTATAGGTGGGTGTGTGTGTGTGTCAGGGGCTTTGTTGAAAGGGAGCTGTGTCAGATGTTGACCGGTTCTCCAGCAGAGACACAACCTCAGATACTTTACCCCACGTCAACGACTCAAAACCACATCCACGAGTTCCCAGAAGGCCTTTGTTGACCGGCCTGCTGAGGTCTACACAACACCACACCCTCACACACACACACACACAAACACACGCACACAACACTACAACACTCTCCACACTCTCACACACACACACAAAGACTTCACACTCCACACCCACAACACCACAACACACGCACACACATACACACACACTCTCACACTCTCACAGCACAGCACACAAACACTCTACACTCTCACACACACACACAGAACACACACACACACACACCACACACTTCTCTCGTCACACACACACGCACAGCTCTCACACTCACACCACACTCTCATCACACAACACACACACACACCAACACACACCACTCTCACACTCTCACACAAACACACAAACACTCTCACACTCTCACACACACACACATGACAAACCCCACACTACACACACAACAACACACACACTCTCCACACACACACACACTCTCACACTCACCACAACACACTCTCACACACAGAACACACACAGACACTCTCTCACACTCAGCACACAGCACTCACACACACTCTGTCACACACAACACACACACTCACACACGACACGACACACCACACACACACACGCTGGATAGAAGTTAGGTTTACGAGCGGTTTCTGTGTGTCTCCCTCTTAGGTTGGACAGAAGGAGAGTACCTGACCCTCTGATTTGGAGGACGGTCACACTGACATCTGACTCCGTGACTGCTCAATCGGTAAACACACACACACACACACACAACCACACACACACCACACAACACACACACACACACACACAACACACACACACACACGACACACACACACAGTTTATCTCTCCCCAAAGGGCCATCCGCTGAACTGTTTATCCGACCGTTCAATTCAAACAACTGACAAAACAACCCTTTTAAAATGGTCTTTTAAATTTTTAGCCAGTCTAAATGTGTTGTTTAACGTATGTAATGTACTGTTTTATATTGTTTTACTGTATTGAGTCCTTAGTATTCTTCTTTTATTATAGTCGATACAGTGGTCTTTGACTATTCAGAAAGCGCTTTTTAAATAAGAATGTATTGTAAGTGTAATGAATGTAATATATTAATGAGCCACTAACTTATACAATTAATTAACATTAAACAGTGTTAAGAGCCTTACTGAGACAGTAATGGATGTAGGTAGCACAGACTGGAAACTGTCTCTCCCTCTTCCTGGTTCTGTCTGTCTGTCTCGTCTCTGTCTCTCTCTCTCTCTCTCTTTCATTCGTCTCTTCTCTCTTCTGTCCTGTCGCGTCTCTCTCTTCTCAGTGCCTCTCTCTCTCCTCGGGTCTCTCCGGTGTGTCTCTTCTCTCTCTGGTCTCGTCCTGTTCGTCTCAGTCTCGGTCTCTCTGGTCCTCTGGGATCTCTCTCTCTTCTCTCAGCGCTCTTCTCTCTCGGGTCGAGTCTTCTCATCTCTCTCTCTGGTGCTTCTCTCTCTCTCTACTGGTCTAACAATCTGTCTCTTCTGTCTCTCTCTCTCTCTGTCGCTCTGTCTCTTCGTTCTCTCTGGTGTTCTACCTCTCTGGGTCTCTCGTCTCTCTCGTCTCGCTCTCCTGCTGTCTGTCTCTCTCTCTTCTCTGTGCTTCGTCGTCCTGCGGCACTGGGATGTTCGTCTCTCTCTCTCTGTCTCTCTGCTCTCTCCTCTCTCTTCTCTGTCTGCTCTCTCTCTTCTCTGTCGTGTCCTTGGCTCTGTCGATGCTCTCTAGCTCTCAGGTGTCTTCTCTCGCTCTCTCTGTCTCTCTCTCTCTTCTCTCTCTCTGTCTCTCTCTCTGCTCGTCTGTTCTTCTCTTTCTCTGTCTCTCTCTCCTGGTCCTCTCTCTCCTCTCTCTCTGTCTCCTCCTCCTCTCTTCTGTCTCTCTCTCTCTCTGTCTCCTCTCTCTGTCTCTGTGTCTGTCTGCTCTGCTCTCTCTCTCTTTCTCTGCGCTTCTCTCTCTCTCTCTGTTCTCTCTCTATCTCCTCATCTTTCTCTCTGCTCTCTCTTCTCTCTCTTTCGTCTTTCTGTCTCTCTCTGTTCTCTCTCTCTTCTGTTTCTCTCTCTCTCTGTCTCTTCTCTCTCTGTCTCTCTTCTCTTCTCTCTCTCTTGTCTGTCTCTCTCTCTGTTCCTCTCTCTCTCTTCTCTCTGTTTCTCTCTCTCTCTGTCTGTCTTTCTCTCTGTCTCTCTGTCTCCAGTCGGCAGTGACTCTTTGTCTCCTGAAGCCGTTCAGCTCTTCACGTCTCTCTCGTCTCTGCAGCCAAAGATCTTCGCTCAGCTGCAGGTCAGAAAATCAATAATCAATAATCAGTCAGTTCCACTGCAGCTGGAGTTTATTAAAGGTTTAAATGTTTCTACTGACAGGGAATCCTCCTGCCCCTCCCTCCTCCTCCTCCTCCTCCTCTCTCCCCGCTCCCTCCATCCTCCCTCCTCCAGACTCCTGTGGGGGAGTCAGCGGGGGCGTCGGGCCCAGAGGAGGTGCTCTGTGAGGGGGAGCGGCTCAGTGGAGGAACACAGAAGGTGGTTCTACAGCACGGAGAGAACGTCCAGCTGCAGATCATTAACTCTGCTGCAGACAGCGAGGATGGTAATCAATAACCATATTGATATTCTTCCCTGTATATGCTACGAGCTAAGCTAATCTATCTTGAAAAGACAACCCCATTTTGAAGATATAAGAGATATTTATATATAAAGTTACATCTTAAGTTAGCTAATGTTAGCAAAACACTAGATTAGTGTAGATTAGCTTAGCATGTAGCATATCTAAGTACAGGAAAGGAGAAAGTTGATCAATTAGTGAAGGAAAGCAGAATCTGTGTCATAAAAGCACAGTCAGTTATTATAGTACAGTGTACAGTTGATAGTTTACAGTTTAATGAAGACAGACCAGTGTAGATATAAAAGTTGTAAATGTTGTTATTGTAAATAACTTCCTGTTTTTTGTACAGTTTTAATATTTAAGATGGAAAATGTTCTCAAGAGATTGTTTTTATTTTCTGTTAAAGCCTCCAAAGCTGATGCTGTTGTTTTTGTTGTGATTTATAATCAATATTAATTGTATGATTATATATTTCATTAGATTATTGCTGCAGACATTTTAAAAAAATGCTCAATTTCCTGTTTTAAGGTGATTATAGCATCAAAAATATCTTATAAAAATAAAGTCAAATGTTCTGGTCCTTTATCTTCTGTGACGACACAAAATATTACATTACACTACACTTACTACATTGTTCAAACAAGAAACATCATTCATTGTAACATAAAGAGGGTTTTTATTGTGTTAAAATATAATAGTGTACCTATAACTCACCTGTTAGAGCCCCATGTACTGAGGCCCGGGTTCGACACCTGCCACTGTCAGTTAAAGATTTAAAACATCTAAACTTTGATCAGTTTTATTCCAAGAACAACAGCCTGGGTATAAATAATAAATAATATAAATGGACAGAGCTGCTTCCTGTTGGTAGAACGTTGAATATTTACTCTCCATTACTAATATTTGCTTCCTAACAAAGAATTATATAAAATCATTCGCAGACATTCTTCCATAAACTCCACGATTTGCAAATATATTCCCGATATAAAAGACGAGTTCTTTTCCTGGGAGCATCTGATTGAAACATTAAACTAAACTAAACCCCAGAACCTCTGTTTAACATCTGTTGAACATCTGTTGAACCTAATGTTATCTTAAACACGTTCACATAAAGTGATTATCGATGAAAGCAGCAACGGCTCAGTTTGGTCAATAAAAGAAAATATAAAGAAAATATAAAAAGATATTAGAGATTTTTGTTTTGCTCTCCTTCCTGGCTGTGATCTATTAAAATTATCATATCTGTATTTTATTCTTTTATTCTGTGATGTGTTTGTTCACACTGGGGTTGTGTGTGTTTATTATACAGACAGGAGGTGATTCTCACTTTTTATAAGATTAATATTCAGCAAGAGGTTGGTGTCAGTTTAACAAATTAATTTTAAAAAGAACGTTAAAAAACAAATTAATTGATTAATGTTGTGGCCTGGATGAGTCTAACAGGTCAGCAGTATTAATCACACAACAGACAGAAATCTATTTATTTAAAAGGCCTTGTGTAAAAGAAATTAAAGATATAAATATATATATATATATAAAGTATAAGTTAAAAAAAAGTTTATGAGTTTCTTTACGTTCCTCGACTGTGGATCCTCTCCGGCTCCGTCCTCCCTCTCTGCCCCACAATCCCTCACTGCTGCACCGCGTCTGGAAACGACCAGAAATAACCGGTCGGACCTCGGTTCCTAATATCAGGCTCTGCTGCCCCCGCTGGTGGTTCTGTTGCTGGCAGCCGTTTCGAGGTGGAGGATCCTGGAGAACGACGAGTCGAACTGCTGGAGGATAAAACCCCTGTTCTGTAAACCAGTGAGGTTTGAGCAGTAACACAGTGTGGTTCCCAGGCCCCCCATTTATAATTAAATGTGAAATTTATTATAACAACCATCGATTTACATGATGATTACAGCTCAATACACATACATAGAAACATACATACAAACATACATGTGTGTTTGTATGTATGTGTGTGTGAAACATGCATAAAAACATACGTAGAAACATACAAACGTAGTTTATTTTCCACATCAGAAGAACTTAATGTACATAAATGTGTAGCGTACATATTAAACACAGATGAGAGTGTATTTAAGATTAAAGTTAAATTAAAGGCTTTTAACAAGACAACTGTGCTCTGTTATTGTTTTCAGCTGTCGTCACTATCACTTGAATATTTGCAATGCTGCTTAGTTATAACCCGTTAAATGCATCAGACCACATCTTCAAATGTTCGGTAACAATTACAAACAATAAGTGATACTCAAACACGAAACCTATAAGTTGTTTTCAGCTTCATCTCAAGCTGTTATGCACAGATTTTGGTGAAGATTAGTTGAAATATGTGCAAAAAGAAGCAAGAAATATCCCAAAATCCAAAATGGCCGAATGTTTTTAATGGTGTGAATAGGCATGGTTTATATCAGTACAATCGGCATCATCCAAGAAACCGACTGTACAAAAATTATTGTAATGTGTCTGCTTTTGTTCTGTGTTCATGAATTCTGAAATAAAGTTCATTTACGTGTCACAATTTTCTGAATCAAGTTTTGATCTGAACCACAGAGATAAAACAAACTGAGGCTGTGACTGAATATTCTTATAGTTTAATCAATATTTTGCACATTCCTCCCTCGTATTGAAGCACTATTCAGCTCCTCATTTTACACATTTTAACACAAGACAAACTTCCTTCTATGTGAAAACTCGATGCTAATCACACGCTACATGTATGAAGTATTTAAATCTAGTCGAGCCCATTGATTCCATTTTATTTGTACAGTGAATCATAATCCTAAGAGAAGTAATCTCAGGCACTTTTCAAATAGAGCAGGTCTATACGGTGCTCCTTATAAATGATAATAATGGCAGCTGATAGTGAGTTTTTAGAGCTGGAATGAAAATCGACATTTTCTGTGATCTGATTCTATGATGATTCTATGATTCTACAAAGATCCTCAAAAGGCATCTTTATTAAACTAATAACTTTATTAAAGTTTATGTAAACCTACAGTCTGTAATTTCTGCCACTAGGGGGCCGCTCACATCCAAACAATAACAAAATATGAAGTTTGATGAGGTGGTGAAGCAGTGTGGGATCATGGGAGTTGTTGTTTTCACCACCAT